TGTATGTGCGTTTTTGTGAATATTTTTGTCGGATTGTGTATTAATACTTACCCCTCACTTGCTCAGTCAACTTATATAGCTGTGTTGCTTTCAGTTCCTCTATTTCCCGCAAGGTTTGTGCCAATTGACTGACTTTGTCGATCTCTTCTTGTGTGTTCTCAAATAGCATATCCACTTGACGCATCACCTCGTGACACTCATTTACCTCGTTCATGCTGGCGTATGTTTTGCAGTGTAGATCCGTATTCACTCAATAACAGAAGTATATATATATCTGTGCAGTATATTATACCTATGATAGTACACATTGTTCAATTTGGGAGGCTTTGTACGAATTTAAAAAATACTATATTTTGTACCGGTTCAGTTTTCCCGCCAAATATTATCCTATCTTTATTGGTAGTTGAATCTTCTTATCCGAACCGGAAAATATTTTTACAAAAAACCTATTTGACTATTTCCTGGAGTCACTATTTATTTATTTAAAAAAAATATAACCCTCTTTAGTGAGATTTTGGGGTGTTTATCAAAAAAAACAGGCCTGAAAATGATTTTTGTTTTGAAAGTAAAGGTGAAAAAGAAAATGAAATTTCTAGAAATATAATGAAATTTCCTAGAAATAAAATGAAATTTCAAGCGTTGGGTGCTGCATGTATTCCGTTCCCCCTGTTTTAACTACGTGACTTATCGGGAAGTGGCGTGCATTTATGAATGCATTATTGTGAGAAGTCTTTCGCTTGTTTAACGCTTTCTACCAAGTTTCTTCATTGTCATTTGGTTGTAGAATTTTGATCCATCGATGGGCACGCGCATCATCAGACAAAGGTAGCCTTATCTTACGAGATGTTAGAGAGAGACATACCTCTAATTCACACACGCACTTCTGACGCAGTACTTTCTCTTTGCTGTTCCCCGTCCTTGTACTACTCATGATATACTATGCCTTTTCTGTTTGAGGTTAAACTAGGTGATGCATGCATCCATGCACGTAATATAGCATGCACGTAATATAGCAATCTTCTCTTCCACCGCCCAAAAGATATTGAGAGCTACACAGTACAGGATTTTCTATGCGATAGTCTGAAAGAGCGTACTTCGATTAGCTAAATAAGGTGAGTAACTAATGTGTTACCATCACAGGCGTGACACTACCAAGCTACGCGCATGTGCGTATATGTGTTTTTGTGTGTATTTGTGAGAATTTTGTGTGTATTTGTGTTTGTATTACTGTATTTTCAAAAAATTTGAACAAAAACAAACAACACGTGATTTCTACTCCGACAGTCTTGTAGTCTAAATGAGATCTGATTTTCTCTAATTGTACAGACTATCAGGACTGTACATAAAATGCTAAAGTTTAATTCTTGACATAAACTCACCTTTATGCTCGATTTTTGTCTGTCACGCAACGTTAATTGAGCCATTTTATTGGCTGTCTATATCACACTCTTTGGCCTATTTGCAGACCCCGGTAGGGTCCCTCCTGTGGATCCTAAATGGATTTTTTTTTACGTGAGTGGGTGTGAGTGAGTGAGCTTGTGTGTCTGTGTGTGGGTGAGTGTGTTATATGATTGATCGTGTTTGACTGAGCAACAATGTGTATTTGTGTGTGTGTGACTATGTGTTGACTGTTGAGTGAAAGTGGGAAAGAAATGGGGGGGGGGAGGGGGGGGTTTCCTCGAGAAATTATCTCACGGCCCTTGCGCGGATATTGTAAATTCACAAGTTATCAACTACTCTCTTTGATTGGACGCTTTCAGTCCCCGCGGCGCCTCAGCCGTGTTTTATTCGTGAAATCAATACTTAATGTTATGATGTATAAACATGTGCCATTAATTAGTATATCTAAGTTCGGGTGAGCTCTTGTGTATGCTTTCTTTAGAGTTGATCCCCTGAAGGCAAACTAGGGTCTAGGGTGAAGATGTAACCCAAGTGTGACGGTAATGGCACAAGTGGTTGAAGAGTAGACGCTTTTGGATAGCGAAGAACTGATTTGTGGATGGAGACAATGCAGTTGTGGAAGGTGAGGTAGGGAAGCATGTTTGTGAAATAGATGTGCTTCGGTCGGTTGAGACTTTATTTTAGTAGGTCGGCTGGGTATTCGTGTGTAGAGATGTATTGAATGTCGGTCATATGACGGTGTGCGCAGTTGCTGATGTAGTGTTCTTTGATATTTATGTGTCTTAAGCCTTTTGATTTGCCTGTACCTACTGCTATTTTGATAGCGGATTGGTTATCTATAAACAGAGGTGTAGGTGTTGTCAATGTGTGATTGAGGGCTTGCATGGGGTTTCGCATCCACGCGCACCATCAATGTATTCTACTTCACTGCTGCTCTGTGATATCATTTTCTGTTTGGAGGATTTTCACATAATAAGTGTAGAGTTGAAAGTGATTAGGGTGCCTGTCTGTGGATGTCGAGCGGTAAGGCAAGCGCCCCAATCTGAATCTGAGGAAGTATTTAATTGTGGTGTTGATGTGGTGATCTTGTGTGGCGCGAGGGCAACACGTCAGTGTGTAGTCTTTAGTGCCTTTAAGGCAAGATATAATTTGTTGGAGAGCGGTCCAATGTTTTGATAGGGGAACTGCTATAGGACGCAGATTGATTGACCGAACAGGCAATATCGACGCGGGTTATATTTGCTGCAAAGCTTAGGGCAATAATCTAAACTTCTGACGACAGGGAGTGCCGTCCAGACGTGGAGGGGGGGGGGGGGGGGGGGCGGATTTAGAGGAAGAGTCAGCTGGATTAAATGCTTGAAGCATGCCGTCAACGTATGCTTCTTGCCCAAGGGAGAAACTACCGTCGGAGTGGTGGGGTGATTTTAATAACCACATTATGAGTGGCGCGGCCGAGATTCTTGAAAAGGTAGTGTTTGGAAAGTATGCCGAAAAGCCAAGTGTCATGGCCGGAGTATGGGTTGATAGCAGAAACGATATCGTCGACATAGAGGACGATGTAATAAGCCGGGCCTCCACATTAGACTCTATGTATAAACGTACTCTTAAGCAGTACACAAATTATAAACGTACTCTTAATAGTACGAGGAATATTTTAGGAAACTTTAAGTTCATCGTGCTATTAAGAGCACATTTAGGAGACTTAAGTTCCTCGTACTATTAAGAGTACATTTAGGAAACTTAAGTTCCTCGTACTAATAAGGGTACGTTTATACATAGAGTCTAATGTGGAGGCCCGGCTTATTACACAGCCCCCACTCAGCTTTGAGACCCAAGAGAAGCAAGTTGCTCACTCAAGCTGATTATGGGTCAAAAAGCGAGAAAGGAAAAACGGGTCGAAACATTAAGTAACATAATATATAGTTCATGTTTCTCAGGCGGAAAAGTTAAGTGTTCTCGGTTAATCTGTGAGTTTTGGGCTTAGGTTCAGTAGGTCCGTGGTGGTCGACCGGACGTTCGTTACGCTTCAGTGTCTTAAGCACATATGAAGAATGAGCATTAAGGCTGGAGATAAATGCTGTAGGCGGATAAATTTTAACTTCCGTTCCTTCAGACGATAGAAACATGCTATCTTTTTCAGCTTGTGACTTATGCAGGCGTTTACGCCATTTTCGATTAAGGGCTCTTAAATAGTCTTGGTTATCGAAAGCATCTGAAGTCAACTCATGTATTTTACCGTCTATAAAGCGTGTACGATAGTATGTATAGCCTCCCTTATCCGTTCTCCATATAATGTCTTTAAATTCAGAACGATCAAGAGGGACATTAGAGTCATGTCTTCTTGCGAGTATAATCTCTGTAGTCGGAATACGACTTGTGCCTATATTAAGCGCACTAGAACCATCGGGGTTATTTATCTCGTACGTTCCACTTTTAGTGTCTGCTACAGAGATTAAATATGGACCTATACATTTAGATGTTAATACAGTAGCATCGGAAATACGTTGACGGATGTTAACTCTGTCACCGACCTGATACTCTGCTATCTTCTTGGTAGTGTTCCAACGCTTTTGCCTTTTTAATAAGGCTATATTGCTTTTTTTTTTCGCAAGCAAGAATATATAACGTTATAAATACGTTGGACCATCTCTAACCATGGTAACTCATGGTGATCAGGTTCGTCCTTGTTAAAGGGTATTTGTAACTCACTATATCTGCCACAAAAATAGTGAGCGGGTGTAGTTCCTGTAACCGGATCAGCACACTCGTTCATCTGTGTTTGTACCCACTTAAGATGGTACGGCCAATCATCTGCATCATCCGCCAATGCAGTACGCAAGAAGAACTTAAATATTCTATGGCGCGTTTTATTCGCGCCTTGCGTTTGCGGCTTATATGGCACACCTCTCTTATGGCATATGCCTGATACGAGTACTAGCGATTCCATAAGATGTGGCAGCAGGTAAAGCATGTCAATCGTTGGAGATATCGTAAGATCCCAGCGTGTCTAATTGAATAGCTCGCTTACCATTGGGATACCATTGTGAGCGTTGGTTGGAGAGGAACTTGATGTTGCGAGTGTCATGTTGGTATTGCGTCCAGTCCGCCAGGTGTCGGGGTGTTGCGTCTGCTGCGGCCAAGTAGAACCCCGAGGCCGCTGTTGGACTCATGCTTATGACTGGTCTTTTTTGCATCGCCCTCGAGTTAAAAAACCACTAGACAGCCAAAACGAGCCTCTGGGATGCGCGGTATATGGGTCCGGTGCCAGATATCGCTAGGTGAATAAACGCCGTCAAGTGAGGAGAGAAGTTCGTTCCGGAGCATGTGGGCCCATGCGAGGGCACCATTCAGGAGGAAAACGGGCATCCCGGCGTCGATCAGTAGACATTGAACTAATTCGTTTAGGACGCGATGAACGCTTTCGACTTTTCCGTTTAAATGTACTATATATGGTGGGGAGGTGGTGAGCTTGATATTTCGAGCTAGGAGCATGTGTTCCGTCTCGGTACTGGTGAAGACGGAGTCGCCGTCGGAATAGAGAGTGTGCGGTTTCCATTGGCGTGGGATTTTGATGAGGAGGGCTTTGAGATGGGTGACCATGTGCTGCTTGTTGGGGAGGTTCGCATGAAGTCCAAAGCGGCTACCGGCATCAACCATGTTGAGTGCGTAACAATTTCCACATCTGTCCTCAGGCATTGGACCCTGAAAGTCTACATTGAGCTGTTCACCAGGCCCATAAGCCGTGGGTGAGTTTGATTGGGAAACCCATGGGGCAGTGCTTGGGAAATTCCGGGTGAGCGGTCGCGTACCAAATAGCTGCCTTGAGTTTATCATCGGATGTGGTAGCCAAGTGTAGGGGCCTTATGAGAGCGACAAGTGTATAGACCCAGGAGGGTTTTCCGACGGCCACTGTACCGTGACGAAGAAACGTGGAAGGCTAATCATGGATGATATACGGAGGTCATTGTAGACGAGCTAGAAATTAATTCCACCAGTTCGAGCAAGGGCGAAGGGGGAACACGATGGCCATGGTGACATCCGTCTTAATGACTGCGTCTAGTTGGTCAGACGTGTCGGACCATTTAGGGTTCGTGTATGCACGTTCGAGTAGAAGATTCACCTGCCGCCAGCCTGTGAACTCACCTCCTCCGCAGGGACTAACGATGCGAGTGACCTGGACCGTTTTGGGGGAGGCAAACAGGTCGTGGTCGGGGCATAGTTCAGGTGACCCATGGCTTGGTCAAAGTCGGTTTTATTGTGCACTCATTCTCAAGTAGTCACCCCTGGGGGCGGTGGATAAATTAAAGTTATTTTGTCCCGGGCGCCCAACTTGAGTGTAGTAGTGCGGCTACGGTGGCCAAGATTCCGGTGGTACTCGTCGTAGGTCAGCATCTTGTTGTTAGGGGTTGCTGGTATTGGAGGGCTGGTGTGCGGTGGGGTGGCTGTCGATGGAGATGCCTGTGGGGGTGCCGGAGGCGAAGTGGGGGGCCTGCGGGGATGCCGGAGGCGGGGTTGGGGCCTGTGTGGAGAGGGCAGGGTGTAGAGTACGAAAAGTTCCAGGAGAGGATGCAAGGTCGAGTAGCTGAGCGTAGTGGAGTCGATATCCTCCCTGTGCGCGTGGGAGGGTGTTGTCGTGAACTATAGCTGAGGCAACAGGACTGACGGTGGACTGGGAACGTAAGGGCAAAGACTGCGTCTTGAAGCTGGTTTTGAGAGACCAGCTGTTGTTTCACGTCGGGACTCACGTAGGTGTCCGCGAGGGGTTTGAAGGTGTCTCGAGTTGTAATGTTGTGCGCATTATCATCAGCGAGAAGAAGAGTCAACGAACCGTGTTCTAGGTTCTGGAGAAGATGTTCAAATTTGGTATGAACCAGGTTCACGGTCGTGCCGCTGTCTATGGGCAGGTCAGATCTAGTACGAGGTGTGGGTCTGGTACGCGATAAAGCTACTTTTGAAGAAACAAAATCGTATGGAAAATTTGTTTTATTCGATCGTTTGGAACATACAGTATCTACGTGGCCGGGCTTGGAGCCGATGCCACAGGAGAAGAAAACAGCCGTACATTTGGCGCCGGGATGGCCCTTCTGCGCATATTTACCGCAGGCCCGGGAGCAAGCATTAGCCCGATGGGAGTCCTCCTGGCAGACGAAGCAAGGGATAGGCGTACGGGGTGTGCGATTGTTGAGGCCGTGTATGTTCCCAAGCTTATCGATGCCCTTGAGTAGCGCTTCGATCATAGCTTCCTGTGAAATGGCTTTGGAGCCCGAACCTGTTGTGGATGCAGTGACTGTGGCTGTTCTTGCCATGAACTGGGGCTTAACTGGGGGATTGATGCGGTATCATGCTTTGATCTGCTCACACATGTTGAGAGGTGTGACGGAAAGGCTATCTTAGTGATTGATCAAATAATACTTTACAATTTCTTGGTCAGCATCCCCTAGGCCGGTCAGAAACAAGCCTTGGATGAACAGAGGCCAAAATGTGGTCTTCTGGAGGTCTGCTTCTCTGGCGACGCGGGTGACGCTCTTGGACCACATATGTATGGTGTCGTCGTCGGTTTTTTTTTGAAGTTCTGAAGAAATTACAGTGTAATCGTATTCGACTTATCGGAAGACATGTGTTTGTATGTCTTCTTGAGATAGAATAAAAGGACCCATGGATCTTCATTAAGTTCAAGAGATGTTAGTGAGTCCAAAAGGTCATCAGAGAGTGAACAAATAAGATGTGCTATCGCTTTGATATGTGCCGTCAGCGGTAGACTTCTTTTTGAATGTGTCCGCCTATTCTACACGAGCTTTGTCGAGGCCACGGGTACGCGAGGAAGAAGGAGTGGCTTCTTGACGAGCGATGATTTCACTTTTGATATACTAATAGCTCAGAGCAGCTGGTATGTCATTCTGGAACTTAGCCGATGTTGAAATGATGAGATGAGACAGCAATTTGTCATAGTTGTGGCCGTCGAGAGATAGACGGGTCCACATGATGCGGATGGAGTAGGAGGTGGTTGAGTCCGAAACAGAAACCACTGTTACTATTTTGTAGAATGATTAATACAATGTTTAATAAAATGTTCAAGGGAAGTCTAGAAAAAAAATAGCTCATAATCTATTTAGACAGTTAAACTGGATTATGTCAAGAACTACACTTAATTTATTTGTGGATTCAATATATATATAAATCTCTAATTTGCTAAGATTATTATTAATTAATATAATATTGATGTTGTTATGATGTAACATGTGCCATTAATTAGTATAGCTATGTTCGGGTGAACTCTTGTGTAGGTTCTTTTAGAGTCAATATGAGTTGCTCCATAGAGTTGCTCAATATATGTACATACTGTACTTCTCCTGATCGCAAAAGCTTTGGCGGATTATGAAATGTGAAAAGAACACAATCTGATTGAGTTTACGCGCCAATATTGACATCGTGAACGAGACAAAATGGCATAAATTGTTCCATTTTTTGTTTATGAGCGCATCCTCAAGCGCACAGACACAAGCGGACATCAACATAACTAGACACCTCGTCTATTACATTCAAAGCACGATGCAAAGAGATGATCTTCGAGATGAAGCTGCGCATCAGGACGATGTGATTGGTGACAGGAGGGACTCAAAAACTGTAAATCGAGAATCGCAAGAAGAAGAAACTTGGGTGCCAACGGAGAGTTTGTTGTGCACAAAGACTTTATTGGACGACGATGGAGAAACGTTAAATGGCAACGACGGTAATTTTATACTAGCAGGTGACAAAGTGGACAACATACCTGAATATGCATCTCTTGATGTGGATACTTTTGAATCTCAACAACCGATCGATGACAATGAAGACAATAACAACGACGAATTGATTGGTAGCTGTGTGGGGACTGAACGACAGTACCTAGATCCTGGTACAAATTTAAGATCATACCAGGAGTGACGCCGTTAAACTGGGAGTTAGGAGAACTCGGTATTCCACCTTGTTATCAGGAAACCAAACTGAAACAAAGAGCAAATATAGTTACTGTATCACAATGGGTGAGAGCCAACGATAATATCAAAGGATTTTGGCCCGTTACTAGTGGAACAAAGAAAAACTGCTAGATTCTTATGTGACAAAGTAGAAGTCAGATCAAAGTAAGTTGTTGATTCAGCAGAAAAAAATAGTGATAACGAAGCAGCTCAGCGGAAGAAAACACATCAACTAGCTGAACTTAAAAAGTTAACCACTGAGAAGGATGGCCCTAAATGGTCACTTACGGATGAGTATAGACTGTTGTGCGCTATAAACGATCCACGCATTTTGAAGAAGTCCGTCAGTGTAATAAGGGTGACTGGACTCGGGCACAAATAGATGCTGGATTGCAAAAGATACGCCCTTTTTCCGAGTCAGGGTTTTATATAATTTATTCAATTGTAATACAGTATATGAGGCGGATTCAATCTTATGTGGACAGGTTGCTTTGTTAAGAACTGGTGAAGAATTTTCCTCTATGGAACTTCTCAATGAAGATACTGAGTTGAACCATAAATCGTTTCATGGAATCATTTACAGCAAAAATGGATGAAGCAACGAAAGTGACTACAAAGAAAATGTCAAAAACACAAAGAGAAGCCGAAGAGTCCAAACGCGAATCCAGTGATTTGCTCACAACTCTCTTAGCCAAGAGCCCAAGCCCCAAATTTGACGAATCTGTAAAAGTTATGGAGCTACGCACAAACCGAAGACGCGTTGAGAAGGACTGAAATGGAGTGTGAGTCCAAGGAACGGATGATGGCTGCGAAATTGGCGCGCACAGATAAGATGGAACAATCAAAATTTACGTTGAAGTGCATCAAAGCACTCAAAAACGCTCTTAAGAGTGCAACGAGACTAAAAGTAAAATCTATGATTGAAACAAATCTTTCAGAAGTTGTAATACGTATACATATGCTATAATTAAAGTG